AGACTGCAGGCAGTGGCCGAGGCTGCTGAAAACACCTGGACAGAGAGAGCCAGAATCAGCCCCGGGGAGCAGTCATCAAGTTTGCCAGTGGTCTTTCTCAGAGCCCCATGAACGCTGCACACTAAATACCCATTCTAGTGTCCTTTCCCCACTCAGAATCAATGCTTTGGGTATTGCAACCCTTTCAGTGCATTTTCATGGCTCTAAAATGGCTCAGTAGGTACGGTGCTTACTGCAAATTCCATCCCTGAGACTCACGTGTTAGAAGAGAACCCACTTCTGATCTGTCATGACTCAGAAATGCCCCCCCACACACACACACAATAAATACATAAATAATGTAACCATTTTTATTTTAGAATCTTACACTTAAATTTCTCTATCGTGCTAAAAATGAATAAAATGAATTTCCATAACTCACAAGCAAAACAGTATTAATGTCAGAATTTTTCTTTCAACAATGCTGCCCTCTAGTGTCTTTACAAGTGAACACCATGAAAAAAAGCACCTGAGCCACCAATAAGGAGTTTCCTGTTGGCAAGATAAATTCAGGAGGTTTTTCTAGATTGATAGTGTGAGAGAGGGGGAGAAAGAGAGAGATGATAGGTAGATAAATGATAGACAGATAGATAGATGCTATAGGAATTTATTTTAACTTTAAGGTGCTACATATTCAATCCTCCTACAAAGTCTGCCTCCTCCACAGACAAGAACTCCCTACCTCCTTCCCCCATTCCTCCCTGCCTTCTCTTCAGAGCCACACACAACAGAGAGAAGGTGCGGCCAGCAGCTAAAGGCCTGTGCATCTCTGCCTCGCCTCTCACACCCACCCCTTTTACTGTATCACAGTCCATTGAAAAGACATCATCAAACAAGACCCCCATCTCCCACTGAATTCTGCAAACCCAGCTGATCCCTGTTCTTGGTAGGTGTCCCCCACCCAGCATACTTTATCTCTTCCCTCTCGCCCTTACCAGTCCCACAATGGGTCTCATCAGTAAGTCCCTCATATTCTCTCAACTCTCCATCTTTAAAAAAAACTTTCCCTGAGCATCTGCTGAATTAACGTTCTCTCTGCTTCATTCATTTGGCAGCCTGTTGGATTTGTATAGGTTGTCTCCAAACCTGCCTGCCCTCCATTCTTCCATCACTCCTGCCTGGCCTTGGGCCCTCACAGTGACACTAAAATGGCTCTCGTGATCTGCAGTCACTCTGTGTGTGTGTGTGTGTGTGTGTGTGTGTGTGTGTGTGTGTGTGTGTATGTGAATCTAGCAGACACTGTCTGCAGCCTCTGACGTGGTTGTTCCATGCCCCACCCCACGGTCCTCATTCTTGAAGCACCCTCTGTTCTTGGCTCTAAGATGTTCTTGGCTCTAAGATGTCCCTCCCAGCTGACTGCACAGGATCCTCTATGTGACCTCATGCTGGCAATGAAAACCTCTCCCCTTTCTCTTCAGACTTCCATATTATGACAGCACAGTCAGTAAGCTGTACTCCTTAACACACCAGTGTCCATCAGGGGCCATTCATTATCTTGGGTCTTTGGCCTCATCAATTCAACATCCCCTACAGTATCACCCACAGCATCCTCATGTTTCTCACATCCGAGGAAGAGCCCCTGGTTTTCTCCCATTGCCCTCCTCTCTATAATTAGTCAGGTATCTAGGAGAAGGCCTTGATTCCTTCCTGCCCACTGTGTGCCACACTCACTCTGTCTTAATTATCAAAATCCTCCCCCAAGTCACCCTTGCAGCATGGCAAAATCTTCCCAGAGGCCCATGCTCCAGGGTTTACTCTTTCACTGGCTCTCCACAGCAGAGGCAGATGCATTCTGAGATACATACTCTGATTACAGGACATCTCTCTCATCCCCTTGCCCAAAAAATGGCAGTGACTTAACAACTTTACCAACTTACAGTTTGGTTTGCCCTCTGCCAACTTGATCTCAAATTCCTGTTTCCTTGCTGGGTTTCTGCTACCTAGCTTTGTTTCAATTTACCAAGGTCCGTCTTGCTTGCAGGGCCCTACACATGCTGTTTCATCATCCTTGAATGTGTTTCTCCCATGCTTCACACGATTTCCTCATTTTAATGCTTCAACATAATTCCCAAGTGAGACATTCTTAGCCCTAACTCATTAGATCTTCCCTGTCACTTCCTATCTGAACCTCCTTATGCTTTTCTATAACACTTAGCATTTATAATCACTCCTTTATTTCTCCACCTTTGCTATCCAAGCCTAAACTTCCCAAGTCTACGAATTTCATTTTATTAACCGATGAGCCTGGAACTCAGCACAGTGTGTGACAAATACCAGGCTTTCACAGTAAATGTGTTCAATAAGTACATGAATGAGTCTTCGAAGAATCACAAAGTCCCCTCCACCTTAACTGCTCTGGTCAAGAATTCAGTAACTTCCAACAGCCTTCCCACCTGGCTGCTCTGTCTTCTTCACCTTGTCTGTAGAGAACAGATGGGGGAGTCTTCCATTTCTGCCTGCTCTCTGTGAACCTCTTCAGTGTTACCAACATGTCTGGCACACTTCAGCATGGCCAGCTCCCAGAACAACAGGTGCTAATGAACATGCTGACTGGAGGGGCTCCCAGCTCTGGAAGAAACAGGATATGAACAGGAAGAGACTTGTCGCAATGATGGAGGCGGCTAATCTACGGCAAAGAGGCAAACAAGTGGCTTCAGCTTCCAGGAACCTTTATGATCTCCATTTCTGTGCTCTTTTTAAAATTTATTTTTATTAATTTATGTTTTACATTCCAATCCCAGTTCCTCTCCCTCGTCTCCTCCCACTCCCCCCTCTCTCTCCTCAACCTCCCATCTGCTCCTTGGAGAGGGTAAGGCCTCCCCTAGGAAATCTACTAAGTCTGTCCCATCATCTCACTGAGGTAGGACCAAGGCATCTCTCCACCCCACACACCCCTATGTCTAGGCTGGGAAAGGTATCTCTCCATATCAAATGGGCTCCACTAAGTCAGTTTGTGTGTTAGTGTTAGATCTTGGACCCACTGCCAGTGGCCTCATATATTGTTCCGGTCACACCATTGTCACCTATATTAAGGGAATCTAGTTTGGTCTTAAGCAAGTTCCCCATTTGTTAGACCTGAGTAAAAAAAAAAAAAAAAATCAGTAGTACTCATCATATATACAGATGACAAATGGGCTGAGAAGGAAATCAGAGAAACATCACCCTTTACAATAGCCACAAATAACATAAAATATCATGGGGTAACTCTAACCAAACAAGTGAAAGACCTGTATGACAAGAACTTCACGTCTTTAAAAAAATAAAAAGAAAGAAAGAAAGAAATTAAAGAAGATATCAGAAAATGGAAAGATCCTCCATGCTCTTGGATAGATAGGATCAACGTAGTCAAAAGGACAGTCACACTAAAAGTAATCTACAGATTCAATGCAATCCCCCATCAAAATTCCAACACAATTCTTTACTTTATTTGGAAAAACAAAAAACCCAGGATAGCCAAAACAATCCTGCACAATAAAGGATCAACTGAGGGTATTTGTGTGCTCTTTTAAGGAGGGTGAAAAAGTTTCTTACAATTTATCACACTTGTTTAGCAAGGGATAAAGAAACACTGTTAGGTGTTGTGAGATAAGATACTGACAAGAAAAAGTGTTTAGCTAGTAAACTGAATTCTGTTAGACAATAGTGAATAAAAGCATTCCCATCTTCAAAACAAACCAAGGGAGTCTTAAAATAGCACATGTAAGCCAAACAATGAAGATGCTAAGACCCTACCTATCCTTGGCTCTCTCAATTCAAATCCTGCCCCATCAACTTAAACACAAATAAGACTTCATCTACCCAGAGTGGAGTATAGTGGCATACATCTGTAATCACTGCACCCAGGAGGCAGAGACTAGAGCACTGCTATAAATTCAAGGGCAGCCTGTACTATGTAGGTGAATCCCAGGCCAGTCAAGGCTTTATAGTGACACTCTGTCTCAAAGGACAAGAAAGAAGAGAGAAAAAAGATGGAAGGGGGCAGGGGGAAAAAAGAGAGAAAAGAATGTCTCTACCCCAATTCTATGTTGAGCAAGGACTCTGTTTTGAAGGCCATTTAATCTACGTATTATTGAGACATAAAGAAGTCCAAGACCTTGACCCTTTAAATATGTGCAAGGATCTGGCATCCTAGGACTATAGTTAATATGCTTCATGGAAGCAAAAGAAATCTAATGCTGTCTGAGGATTTAGCCCGCTTGATCTTGAGGCTCTTCAGTGCCTTAGAGTCCTGTAGCTCATCTGACTGGTGCCAAGAGGATTAGCTTAGCTCCACCCCATGGGGAGAGGATTAATCTTCATGGTCAGAAAATGTGATGTTAAGCTGAAAGAGGCTAAAGTGTAAACTGGGTGGGCCCACCAGCAGTCCCTGGTGAAATCAATTACATGGGTGTCTTAGAAGAAAGTTCAGTTCAAAGAAGTCAAGGACAGGGTGTGTCAAAGTGGGCTTTGCGTCCCAGTGGCTTCAGCTGTTTGTTCAGCGTTTTATATGTTTATCTTCCTGTTAGACACAGTTATTGAGTCATCTCTGTTAAATGGCTATTGAGGATAAGGAACAGCTCTGCAAATCCACCATACGGAAGAGACAGGCCGTTCATCCTCTATGACCCTACATTCTACAGACAAAACAAATGTGTTCCCTCCCTTCTCACTTTGTGAACAAGATACTCAGTGCATGTATCAGAACAAGAACCATCAAGCAAAAGAAAGGAAAAAAACCTGTGGTGTTCATTACATTTTTAAAACTGTTTAATATTGGTGCAAACTGAAAGTAAAGTGTCTGTTTACCTGAAAGTACTGCCAAGCCTCCATACCATTGATGGTGAATGTATGTTGTTACCAGTGTTAAGAGTAATTATGTTAATCAAATAATTACATCATCCTTCTAACTTCTGGAAAGAGTAGGTGAAAATACATTACTCTGTAAAGTATATGTTCATGGAATACTGTTTGGGCTTCCATAGAAATTGTTCGAGCCATGACACACGTCATCAACCAAGGCATGGCAATGTACTGGGGCACCTCGAGATGGAGCGCAATGGAGATCATGGTGAGCTAACTTCTAGTTATAGCTGAGTATATAGCTGAGCTATTATAACTATATATTATTTAATAACTGCTGAGCATCATAGCATTATTTTTTAGATACCCTGTTTAAGTTGCAATATCTTCTGCAGACCTTTCTCACAATACCATTGTGAGAATTGGAATTCTAAGATCCGTTCCATTGTTAGGTAGATAGCTGTTGGGGCTGGAGCCCAACAGCTTAGAACAAACACAAGGATCCAGAGCTCTAATACGAATCATGTTTTAGCATGTTCTTTGATGGCAAATGGGCAGAGAATTTCCAGGCTAATGAGATATGGAAATAGAGTATTCTAGCTTTCTTACAATAAGCTTATTGGTAACTATTCTGCTTATACCACGCCACTTATTTATCTGAGTGTTTAGTCTGGTTTTAGTTCTTTAAGAACCTAACCATATTCAAACTTCTTTACAATAGTCCATAATTCAAGCTTTGACTAATTTGTCACAGGCTTTACTCAGTCTGACCCTCCCAAAGAATAAGGATTTCCCACATTTGGTACCTTTCATGGTGAAAATTATGACCATAACTTTGCACATGTTTGGCTTATTTCCTTGCTCCTTATTTACTCCACTGAAATGAACATCCCCATGGGAATGAATCGAATGGAGCTCCAGTGCTCATTGGCATAAACTCAGTTACAATCTCTTCTGTCCCTAGGAAGCCTATTCTGTTGCACGACAGTTCAACATGATCCCACCGGTCTGTGAGCAAGCTGAGTACCATCTTTTCCAGAGAGAGAAGGTGGAGGTCCAGCTGCCAGAGCTCTACCATAAAATAGGTAATCTTCAAAATCACATCTGATCATTCCTCACAATATAAGAATTAGTGATTGGGGGGGGGGGGTGTTAGGAAAATGCTTTCCCAAATGTCCCTAATTAATGTGATAGAGAAATGACAAGAACTATGCATCTCAGAGATTGTGGTAGAATCAGGTGGGTTCACAGTTAGTCTACAAGGTACTGTGATGACAATCATAGACTTGTAAATTGACTGTCACATACACACTCAGCAGGGGTTCAGAAAAGGTGCACACAAAGAAGAGCCAGTGGATAAACTTGACTTGCACAGGTGCTTGCTCCAGCATAAACATGCATTTATCTGTGAGTAGACTGAGTTCAAAAGCATATAGATAGCCATGAGCCTCTGGTAAGACAGAAGGAATCCAACAACAATCAACAAGTCAGGGCAATTTGATTGTGTGGAAGCAGTGCCTGGGGCGGGGACATAGACACAATACAAACACGAGGAATTTTAGATATTAGAAACATTAACAAGCCCCATATTTTGGCTTATATGCCAAAGCAGTTTCCAGAGATGACTTTTTTTCTAAAAATGATTGTCAAATGCTGGATTAAAACCAATACAATAGCTGATGCTGTTTCTGTCACACACCAGGCACTTGCTGGGAGGCAGCTGTGCCCCTGCTAAGTGCCAGGTACTATCAGGCACTGGTGGATAAGTGAAGCACTCACTCTCTTTGCAAGTCGAAGCTCTTATCTCTCAGTAGATGAATTGTGGCCATGAACAGGTCATGAATATGTCATATTTTCGGGTTCACTTATGGCTCACTCCCAGGAACAGATAGTACATGTGTAATTGGTTTATAAAAGAAGGAGGCACAATATGTAAGTCCTAAGTTGTAATGGAAAGACGGATGCTGGTGTGAACTCATATATCTGGCCAGCTTTCCTCCAGAACTGACGGAGCTGTTTAAACACACCCTCACTTTTGGTCCCACTTGGCAAAAGCAATTTTCTGTGATTGTGTGTTTTTGTTGTTTTTCCCCCATAGGGGTTGGTGCAATGACATGGTCTCCGCTTGCCTGTGGAATTATTTCAGGAAAATATGGAAATGGGGTGCCAGAAAGTTCTAGAGCTTCACTGAAGGTATTTTTCTCAACTTCTAGAAAAGAGTCCCGGGGAGAGTAGAAGGGCAGAAGATGGATTAGGAGCAGAACAGTGGCCCAGGGCTTGCCAGCTTAAGCACACTGTGGCCTTGGGCAGCCATGGACTCTGGCCCTCTTAGCCCTGCCCAGGTCTCTGCTGCTGGCGATGGATCAGTCAATCCTTCATAATCTGCCTGCACAGAGAATTCTTCTCTGAGGATGGAAAGAAAAGTGTGCAATGACCTGCTTGACTTGCAGACTCAAATCCCCTCATTTTTACTTATTCTTATATTAAAGGGGGAATTTCATTCCTTGTCTGGAAGTGACAAAATTTTAAATCCCTTTTCTATGTAAGAGGATTTAGTTTTCCTTTTCTTGAGAAAACAAAACTTAACCCATAAGGGCTAAATCCATTTGAAGCAAACAACTGTAGCTGGGTATGGCTTGAGGTTGACTGACATTTCCTACTGCCTTTGGGAAAAGGGTAAAGAAAGAGGGCCTCAGGAGACAGAAAGTGCACACATCATCACCAGCCTCCACTCTGACCAATGGGTGTTTTTTATTTTATTTAAGTCAGTATGTATTGTAGAACATGGTGGGTTTCTTGATGGCATTTTTGTTCAGTTGTATCATATACTTTGACCACATTCACTCCTCATCGCCTAGTCCCAGCTTAGACCCCTTCCTGATGATTAGCTTACTGGGGAGTACTACAAATATCATTCCTTATTGACAACAAGGTGTCTGTACTTTAAAAGCTTGAGAGAATGTACAACATTAGGATCAAAAATTACTCTGCAATGTCAAGGGAAAGAACACAGGAATCTTAAAAAATGCAGACAAGCCAAAGTCATCTTAACAAGAAGCATATGCCAGGCTCTAGCCTCCATTAGCACTGAATCAGCAGAACAGCCTAAGCCAAGCCCAACCCTTTACCAGTTTAGCTGGCAGTAGTGGGGGGGTGGAGGGACGGACACAGAGGGGACAGGACAACTAACCACCAACACTTCCCTAACTAGAACCTTCTCAAGGCTCTAGGCCTTTCTGTCTACATGAGTTGAGCGTTTAGCCTGTTTGTTCTCTGAAGTCACAAGACAGAAATATCCCCAAAGCATGCTGACATGACAGTGTTCTCATTGCTAATTATCCCAAAGCACAGTTATCTCAGAATATTTAATGAGATCTTGTTCCTGAAAACTGAAGGTCGTTCAGAACAAATTCTAAACAAGTCCATAAAGCAAAACTAAAGGCATCTTAGGCAAGGGTGCAAAAAAAAAAAAAAAAAAAGAGGAAGGCAAGAAGAGCATGCAAGGAAAGGAAATTCTGAGAATTGAGCTTTTACTGAGAACCTACTATATGCCAAGCAGTGAGCTAGGAGTTAACTTTTACTTCCTTTAATCTTCACCATGAGAAATGAATACAATCCAATCAGTTGTGGCTAAGTTAAGTTGCTGTGCAGACATTCCTCAACTTATGATGGGGTAATGCCCAGATAAACACATTATAAACTCAAAATGTCCTGTCAAAAATGCACTTAATATGGCTAACCTACTGAATATCATAGCTTAGCCTAGCCTTATCTTGAAAACAGAAAAAAAAACCCATCTAATACAAATCCTTTTTATACTAAAGAGTTTACTGTCTCATGCACTTTATTAGATGTTGGACTGGAAGAGAAAAACAGAGGTTGTATAGAACAACTTTTGCATATCAGTACGAAAATCCTAAGTCAAACAATTGTAAGCTGGAGACCATCTGTATATTCTTCCATAGGCTTTCCAAAATATTCAAAGCACTTCACAAATGTGGGCTATTTGTTTTCAGAGTAATCCTGCAAGAGGCAGGCTTCTGCCGGATGCAGAAACTGAAGCTCAAGGACATTAAGCAATGTTAAGACCATAAACTCCTAATAGATAAAGCTGACTTGAGAACCCGGCCATCTGTTTCCTTTCACACCCAGGTCTTTAAGGGAAGCAGTAGTTTTTCTGTATCTGGATCACATGACTATGCAGCCTCTCTCACTGTTTGATAAAAAGTTCACACAGAGATGGAAAACAACCAAAAATGCACTAACAAAAGTAGGAAAGGGATGGGGAGAACATACAAAATGTCTGACTGTGGCTAAGTTCAAAAGTAACTGGGGAAATGTTTGGTTGGCTTTCATGAAGTCAACCAAGTAGACACTCCTGGAACATTATCAGGAAATGCTTAGAACATGTCCAAGACAATGGTTTGGAAAGTGCCAGGCTGCAGACTGCAACGAACTCTCCAGGCTTTGCACTATCAACCAAGTGTTTTCAGAGCAACATGCCTCTTCTTGGGAAAGCCACTTAAGCAGAACTATCAAAGTGAAAACTGAAAATAAACATAAAAGAAGCAAATGGAAGGGCATCCTCAGGACTACATTATAGTGCTAATAGAAAAATTAGAGACAAGTAGAAGGATACATCGGCAACTTTTAACACAGCCCTTCAAATGGTTCATATAACACTGTCTGTTGTTACTATCACTGAAATGCTAATATTTTGTGCTTGCTATATTGAACTACAATTGAAAAATAAATCTTTTTTTTTTTTTTTTTTTTAATGACTCTCCAGGTCTCTTGCAGTAAACAAGATTAGCCAGGGAATTTTCTGAGCAGCCTCTTCTGGCTGGCCCCATCCCTTTAACAATGACTTGTAACTCCATGTCATCAACTCTAACAGATGTTCCACGGGATCTGTTAAGCCAAATTGAATCTACTCACATACCTTTCTGCTCAAACTTAACTCTCCTTTAGATCAGCAATGCTTCTGCCCAAGATCTAGCCATCCTGATCAGATGTCATAGTGTTACCTCACATTCCAGCCTGTTCATCCTCACCCTGCCTATCAAAGCTCCAAATCCTCCAGACCACATCCTGCCACTCAGGTCCACCTCTGCACAGCCCTGATGTAGGCCTTCATCTTTCCTTGCAGGTTTACTGCAGGAGTGAACTTGGATGCTTTAATTTCCTCCCTGTTCTCAACAATCCACCCTTATGGTCAATTATCTTTCTAAAAGACCATATCATAATCCATTTTAAAATGTTTTCATGACTTCATAAATCCCAAAGCCTCTTGGTATCTAAATCAAGTCTATTTCTCATTCTTGCCTCTATTATACCATGTTATTTCATTCTCATGTGGTTTTCCCATATTATCCTCAAGAACAAAGCCTGTAGCTTAATAAAGTTATGGAGTTATTTGCACTTTCCTCTATTTTTCAATCAACACTTCTTATAGAGGCTTGGAGTTCTCTGGCTGCCAGTGACACACCTCAAATGGGAACCACCTCATTCTAAAAACTCTGTTGTCACAAAGACAAACCTTGAGGATGTGGTAGTGCATGGCTCAGTAGAGATCTGTCCATGGACTTGAACATGATTAGTCCTCTGTCTTCTCCACTTATCTCGAATAGGGATATGCCATTTTCTTCCACTGTGCATGAATCTTGCCAATAAAGCTGGGGACAGGAAAACTGGTAGCCATATCCCTAAGAGAATGTATCCTAGAAGAAAAGAGATCTTTGATTTACTAGCTTCAGAGCAGAAAAGAGTGGCCAAAGCTAGGCAATGTCTAACCTGTGACACCAGAAAACAATAGCCGAAATTAAAAAAAAAAAAAAAAAACCACTTTGCTTGGCTCAGCCATACACTATTTTGTTGGAGTATTTTCCATAAAGAAGGTGCTACAAACATGGCTCCTGGAGAAATCATTGAAGCAGGAAGGTCAGCTACAAAACACTTGAGTTCCTAGATATTGACTGGTGGACGTTTTCTTTTGAAGATTTACTTATGTATTATGTATACAGTGTTCTGTTTGCATGTATGCCTGCAGACCAGAAGAGGGCACCAGATCTCATTACAGATGGTTGTGAGCCATCATGTGGTTGCTGAGAATTGAACTCAGGACCTCTGGAAGAATAGCCAGTGCTCTTAACCTCTGAGCCAACTCTCCATCCCCATGATTTGTGGATGTTTTTAAGACAGAAACTAAATTTCTCCAACCCATCACAGAGCCTGAAACAATTCAATAAATGCTGACTGAGTGAATGTGATAACCCAAAACATAAGAAAAAATGATTAGTACTTTGGCAAATATTACTGTTGGCCACTGGGGATACAGAGACCAATAGGATAACCCTGATGTTCAAAAAGTACCTCAGGGACTTTCCACAGAGGCACACAAGTTAAGGCGAACATTATGGAACAACAGAATCCACAGCACTGTGCCATCCACAGATTGGCAAACATATACACTATCAATCTTCCTACAAAACCTGGGGTCACTTCCATAATTAATACTTTAATTATATTTCATCTCTTTCCACTATTAACATTTTCCCATTTGAAACAAAGTTAAAGATGTTTACTTACAAAAACAAAACCAGTTTCCTTTGGTATTAGGAAAGCAGTATAAATATTTTTTTTTATCCTAACTCCCTACACAGTCCACTGATTACGGCAACAGTGAGAAACGTATAGTACTGAGAGTCAGAAGAGAAAGATGTTGTGAGTGGGGACGCACACACACTGCTGTGCATATGTGGCAGTCAGAAGACAACCTCAGGTGTCAATCTTCACCTCCCATCTTATGAGATAGGATTTCTTTTTTGTTACTCATTCCCATATACATCAGGCTAGCTGACCCATGAGGCTCTGGGCTCTGGAACTCCCTTGTCTCTGCCACCCATATCACTGCAGAATGCTGGAATTACAGGCACATGCATCATCCCCATTGTTGCATGGGTGCTGGGCACCCGAGCTCAGGTCTTCAGTCTTGTGCAGCAAGCACTGGACTCACTGAGTCATCTCACCAGACCAATGCTGGTTATTTCTAGGAGTTTTCCAATATGGTTGATGTATGTACATCACACACACACACACACACACACACACACATTGTACATTCCAATCTTAAGGAAAATAATTTATTACATATATTTCAAAAATAGAATAGTTTTATAAAACATAAATCAAGCATTCTTAATATTCATGATATATGTTGATATCTCAAGAACTCTGCTTTTTATTTCCCTGATGGATTTTTTTTACAATTTTATTTAAATTAAAAATAATCTTATTTTACATACCAATCCCAGTTTCCTCTCTCCTGTCCTCCCATTCTGTCCACCAACCCTGCCATCCCATCCCACATCTACTCTCCAGGGAGGCTGAGGCCTTCCACGGGGGATCTTCAAAGTCTGTCACATCATTTGGGGCAGGACCTAGGCCCTCCCCCATGTATCTAGGCTGAGAAAGTAACCCTCCACTAGGGATAAATACTGATTCCACTGCCAGAGGTCCTATAGACTTCCCAGGTCCCCCACATTCAGGGAGCCTGAAGAACTCTACCTTTTAAAAACTTCAAAAGCATTTGTCTATTATTTCTCACTTTGTATTTGAATCACACAGAGATATTGCTTCCCTTAAAGATCATGAAATTTAAGTAAGGATTAATAATATTTTCCCACTTTGGATATCTACAACTGTTCAGGGGTGTCTCACATAGGCAGAGCCCTGGTTCAAGAAGGCTTCCTGGGCCCTAATCATGAGCTCATTATTCACAGCCATCCACCCTATCACCACTGGCAACAGCTGTCATAAGTTCAAGTACTCTTCCTCTGAAAGAATCAGAGACTTCCCAAGGCTGAAGCTGGGAAAGCCTTGGCCATTTCTCCAAGCACAGTCCCAAATGGGTAGCCAGAACATAAGCCTTTGATATCTAGGAGCAGACAGAACTGGGGCGGCTTGCCCTTCTCTTTTTCACATCTGTAAAAATTATTCCAAAAATCACAATAAAACATAATGTGCTTATCCTTTTCTTTGGAACTTCTTAGAGTGATGAAAAAAAATAACTTAATGAAACAAAAGCCAGCAGCCCATTGAAATCATTTGGGAAGAGTGCCTATGGCCAACTGCCCATTGCAGCACTTCCTGCTGCCTCTGGGAAGGTTCCCATCCAGGGCTACAAGGAAAAGAGGAAGGTTCTTAACAGACACTCAACTCCTTCCCTTCAGCTATTGCTGGCTAATACTAGCCTTATATAGTGGAGAATTAGTCCCCATCTCCTGTAAGAGCAGAGTCTTCTGCAAAGTAAGACAATGAAAAATTCTCAAAGACTTTTCATATTTGGGAAAGTAAATTCACTCAATAGCCTACAAGTCATAGTCAATCTTTCCCCATGTTTTAAAGAGTAGTTTCCTGGGCAGTCTTTTAAACACTTACTCCATTGATTCTAATTTATGGCATTAAAACCAACCACAATAGGAAGTCAACACAAAGTCCCCAAAATAATAATAATAATAATAATAATAATGTAATTATTATAATTATCAAATTATTATGTTAAGCAACTGAAGAGGTGGTCCAGTGATTACAAACACTTGCTACTCTTGCAGAGAACCTAAGTTCAGTTCCCAGAACCCATGTTGAGTAGCTCAGAACTGCCTGGTTCTCCAGCTCTTAAGGATCTAACATCCTCTTACAGCCTCAAAGGGCATCTGCACACATGTGCACATATACATAAATGAGATACTTTAAAAGAACAATGAGGTTAGGAATGGAATAAGGCAAAAGAGATGACAGTTATAACAATAATGCAAAACAGTGATCTTCAGGGAGCAGAAAGCTCTCCTAAAAGAAAGTTGTTGGGGGGGGGGGGTTCCACATGAGTTCAGATACCCTTGGAGCTAGAGTTATAGGTGACTGTAAACTCCTGATGTGGGTGCTGGAAGTCAAACTCATGTCCTCTGAGAGAGCAGAAGATGGCTCTTAACTGATGAGCCCTCTCTACAGCCTCACCCTGATCTTCTTATATTTTATTGAATTAACAGTTTTTGACATCACACCCATACAAGACACTACTGCTCACATGTTATTGTTATTCCCAGTGCTACCAGTGGTTGAAGGAAAGAATTGTAAGTGAAGAAGGGAGAAAGCAGCAAAACAAGCTAAAAGACCTTTCTCCGATTGCTGAGCGCCTGGGATGCACACTACCTCAGTTGGCTGTGGGTAAGAGAATTACTAGGGGAAGGCAGAGCTGGGTCTGGATTGGGGATAACTTTCACTGAGATGATTAAAGATATACTTTGCTATAGCTGACCCACACCCTGCCATAGTAGCACTTTGACTGTGGGGGCAGGCTGATCTCAGGAGCATCAATTTCTGGTATATGCAGCAGAAAGTGAGTTATTCAGTTTCCCAGAATATTCTGTATGCTACGACTTTGTTTCTTCCCTTATAAGACGGTTGCATAAGAACACATCAGTGAAAATACACAGAGAAAGAGAAAGAAAAAACAAAAAACAAAGAGGATAGAGAGACAGACCTGGGAGGGAAAATGAGAAAATGTATTCTATAAAGAAACATTAATAAAAAATTTAAAAGAAAATACACACATATTCAAGTGTCTGAAGTGAACTGTGTCATTACACAATGACACCCATTTCTATTGGCGCAAGTTCCTTCCCCTGCTGACACTGAGCCAAGGTTGGTAAGAGGTTGGGAAATAGGGCTACAAAGAGGCCCTTGGCTCCTGCCATACTGAAAGCAGATACTGCAAGGGCAGCTTCCCCTGGAAACTTTTCAACAGCCATGAAAATTGTTCTTCTCATGCTGTGTAGTCCGTGAAAGGTCATGGCCACCCAAAGTCCACACGCACTGGCACTGTCCAATAAAACATAATGGGAAGTCCTTATTTCATTGCAAATTTGCCAATGGCCATATTAAGAAAGCAAAACAGACACTGAGAAGATGGCTCAGTGGTTCCGAGTGTTCGCTGCTCTTCCAGAGGACCAGAGCACTCATGTCTGGCAATTCACAACCTCTAGCTCCAGAGAACCCAACACCCCCTTCTGGCCTCCACAGGCACCTAAAGACATACGGCATGCACACACACACACACACACACACACACACACCTTAATATTTTAAAAGTAAAACAGAAAGAAATGAAGTTAATATTAATAAACCATCTTATTTAACACAATGTATTCCCATTTTGACATATAAAATATTAATGAAGTTTTAAAAATACTCTTTCAGCCTGTTTTCAAAACACAGCATATATTTTACATAGGAAGCACCTTCAGCCTGAACATGGGCTCAATAGTCACACATAATTAGTGATCCCTGAATTGGATACAAAAGCATTCAGACTTGCAGGGGATAGGGGAGTGCCAGACTGTGTTATATACCCTTCACACTCATTGTCTTACCTTCTTAGGTTCAGAACAATCCTTTGAGGTACACGCTATGAGGAAACCTGTCTCACAAATGTCACTGGATAATTTACAATTGGCTTGGTAACTGAGAAAGGAATAAAATAGGCATTAATTCCTATTTTCCAAGGGAGGAAAATCCTAATAAGAAACAGCAGTAAATCGGATACACTGACCCAGAGGGATAAACAGCCCAGGGTAAGACCTGTGCAAATAAGTAATAGAGTATTTGTTGGTAGTTTGGCTCTGCTGTGGTTAGAAATTTAAAATTCACAGCAAACAGTACTAGTGAAACAGATATGAAGGTTGGAGGGATGGTAGTGCCAAGGCTAACAACCTGAATCTGAGCTACATCTCCAGAAGCCATAGAGTATATTTACCTAGAACTAAACATCCTAGGCTTGAGGTTTTCTTAACACCCACAAGAAAAAAATATATTTTCTTATTGTAAATAAGATTTTAGGTGGTAACATAAATTGAGTATATTTGGTCCCCCATACCCACAAAGACAACCAACCATTTGCATTATATTAGGCATTCTATGTAATATGGAGATGATTTAAAGAAGACAGAATGTGTATGCAAATATTGTACCATTTTATATAACAGAATTGAGTGTGCCTGCATAGCCGGGAAGATGGAACCAATTCCCACAAATACCAAAATGATGATATTAAACTCTGAAAGAAACAGAAGAATATTATCTTCTTAGAAAGGAAACCTTTTAAAAATTTAGAGTTCTCTGGATATTAGATATTCATGATGTACCCTTTCTACAGAGCTTGTGTTTAAATTGATACATGCTGTCTTTTCCTCCCTTTCTCCCTTCTATGCCCTAAACTACTCCTTTGGAGTCAAAAGACCTATTCACAGAGGTAGCATGTCAGATATCCTGCATATCATATTAAATATATGATTCATAACAGCAGCAAAATTAGTTATGAAGTATTAACAAAAATGCTCTTATTTGGGAGGAACTGTATGAAAGGGTTGCAGCATTAGGAAGGTTGAGACCCACTTTCTTAGATATTTTTCTTGCCTGTCATCTTCTTGCTTTACAGACAAGTAGTTGTTTTTATCCACAGAAATCTCAGCCCCAAAAGGAATGATGTCCAACTCACTGTCTTTGATCTTCAAGGACAGAGTGGGACTCGGGGAGAGAAGGGGAGGCTCCCAACAGGAAACAGACCGCTGGGATAGCATTGTGCTCCCAGGTCACGCTTGTGCAGGAATCAGCACTCAGCTCACTGGCAGCTAACAGGCACCAAGATGTGCTTGCCAGCCATACCCAGTTAGACAGGCTGATTATGAAGAATCAGCTGCAGGTACCCACTCCATGGATTGGCCAGCTCTGCAAAGCAGGTTCTCTTAGCCCTGCAGCCCTTGGAGGAATCTGGTGTTGCTGAAACAGGTTCATTGCTTTGCACTGCACTTCCACTGGTTGCAAAAGGAATTCTAAATGCAAAGGGAAAGAAAAAAGTGGGAGAGAGAACCCAATATGACCACCTGAAGGATCCAGGGATTTCCTCAAGGGCCCAGTCCTGGAAACAGCTTAGAGGGCCTTGAATAAAAGGAGGCAGATGTGCTGGAGATGAATCAATCATCTATGCTCATGTTTCTCCAGCAAACATTTAATAAGAGTGCCCCAGGTATGGAGTGGGATCCAATTCAAGATAGCCATATCCCACAGCATAATGGGCAAGTTAAGTAAGTTAATAGATATGAGTACAGGGTTCATAGTTTTGAGGAGGATATGGGGCTAGGGGATTAATGTGCTGGGCACACAAGCCAGCCTGGATTTCAGAATTGGCTTTCTGAAGAAGGCAGGGCCACTGAGCTTCAGAGGAAGAGATGTTAATAAGCCAAAGGAAAAGTGTGGGCAAAAGTGGATTCCAGACAAAAAAGGCTCCCAGAGAGAAATCACTGATGTTTAGGATAAGGAGATTAACAAAGGCAGTGTTCCTGAAGCACAGAGTCCAGGCTGGGAACCTTGAAGCTAGAGAGGAAGAATCAAAACTAAGATTTGCCAGGGTAAGAAATGCATGTCATCTTAAAGGAAAGTGATCTGTCAGGTACAAGTTGAAGTCAGAAAAGTGATACTAGAGACGCTGAGGCTAGGAGCACAGGATCTGTATTAAGGGAGGGGAAGCCCAAGCAAAAGGTAGGAAAACCAGTGATTCCAGGGAGAGCTCCCGAGGGCTGAACGAGGACTGTGGCAGCAGAAGAGGGAGAGCAGTGATCTTCAAGTGTCTACACAACAAAATATTATGAAACAAAGGAAGTATACACCGCCACAACACGGAAGCAACTAGAGAACATGTGCACGCCAAATGAAGGAAATCAAATACAAAAGGCAATGTCTTTATTCTATTTAAATAAAATATTCGGGAATACTGACCTAAAAACAAGCAGTAAGTGATTGCCTAGGGTTGAAGTAGGACTAGGTATCAATTAATGCCTGTAGGCATCTGGAATTTTGTAACAGTGATGGGAAAATTCTACTAAAACTGAATTTAAAATAGTAATGGTTACACTCTAAAATTGCTGAGGGCTAGTAAACTTTTTTTTTTTTAAAGGTAGTTAGTGTACACTTTAAAACAGATAAAATTCTTTTTGATATGTAATTTCTACCTCAATAAAGCTTTTTTCTCCCCTTCCCCTTAAAAGTTTAAATTCCCAGGCTGAAATATAATTCAGTTGGCAGAGTATTCGGCTAACGTTCGTGAAATCTGAGTTTGTCTCAATACTACAAAAACCCTGGATGGTAGCACATGCCTCCTATCCCAGGATTCAGGAGGTAGGGGCAGTGAATCAGAAGTTCAGGGTCATCCTTAAGCTGCAAATAAATTTCTAGGCCAGCTTGGAAAAACAATGTTATCCAGTAAGTACTTAGAAGCTGGTCTTCTAAGTAAAAAATCTTTTGTGAGGCATAGAAATGGTTCGTCACAAGTCCCCCTCACATAACTCTGTAACATGCTAAGGATGAGAACCAATGGGCTAGAGAAACTGGAGGAAGAAACAATTAGATATGGAATTTAAAAGGAAAGGTAGAATCAGCAAAAGACAGTCCTTAAAGATCCTACATCTCTAGACTGAGAGGACCAAGATGCTGACATTGAGCCAAAAGAGACTGGCAAAGTGAGGTGTTGAATGGTGGTAGGGCCGGCAGGAACAGGTGGTTCCATGCTAGGAGATTGACTGTAACAAGGGTGGTTCCTGAGGGCCTGTAATTCCAACACTCTCAAGAAGGCAGTAAAACAAGTTCAAGGAAAGTTGGAGGTCAGCCTGGGCTACATGAGGCCCTGTATCAAAAAACAAATAAACTAAATAGCCCACCAACAGCACCAAAAGAGAGTAGACCTTATGCCATTTGATAACCAAGGGCCAGAGAAGTTGATCAAGCTGGCGAAGGTCCAATGGCAAGATGGCAAATAAGGGGACATGTGAGGTACCAAACCATGAGATTCTATGGTTCTTTGCAAAACATGCCACTAGCCCCAAGCAGAAAACACAGGCTCAGTTTTGATGGGATTTGCTAAAGCAGAGGAAGGACTGGGGCTTTGAGAGTTGGTTAAAAAAAAAAAAAAAAGCAACTGAGATAATCAATACAAAGGTTGACTGATGAGAAAAAGTGACACCATGTATAAGACAGTAAGGGGACCTGGCACGAACAAGAATCCAATGTAATTAGTTGGTGAGCAGTGCTGGCTTTTTCAGGACCACTGTATTCTGAAGATGGGTAGCTAGTCATATTGAACTCTGGTACTTGGAGCAAAATATAAGAAAGCCAGAGAGAGCCACAAACCTACTATTCAAATGCCTGGATTGATTGTATTAAACTTCTGAATATGAGGGGTGCAGTCCCAGTTTTAAATCCCAGAGAACACTGTGTGTACTGTATCCTACACAAGCTTGTGTGTGTGTGTGTGTGTGCGCACACACACACACACACACACACACACACACAGGTTAATAAACTTGGGCTATAACAAACATAACGTAGCTATTGCTTACAGGTCATCAGCAATCCTGACCTAGTGCTCTGTTCTTTCCAGCCTGGTGCCTGAGAAATGAGGGGGTGAGTTCTGTGCTCCTGGGATCATCCACTCCTGAGCAACTAATTGAAAACCTTGGCGCCATTCAGGCAAGTATTGCAACCCTTTCCAGCAAATTACAGGAATGCTACAATGTGTCTCCAGGCAGTGTCCTGGACAAGGTATTGGTGAACACAAAGCTATAAGCAGCACAGCACACTTGCACAATACCTGGATCTAGGGCTGTCCTCTGCTTGTTTAACAAACAAGTTTATCAAATTCCACAGGGGCTCTTTTTTTTTTTTTTTTTTTGTGGGCAGTGCATTCCAATGTCATACCTGGCAACTGACTTCCTAGGTCTAACCATAAAAGCATGTTTAACTGCCTGTTTGAGATGTAACACTTATAAGACAATACCACATCATTTATTCATTTGTTCCCCTCACAAACTACTGCCACCATGCTATGCCAAGTGACTCCTTTGCAGTAATCTAGCAGCAACTATGATGCTCATCATACTATAGGATAAGATGGGTGATAACTGCCTGTCCCCTCTGCAGGACTGTAAGACTCAAAGTCAGAGACCTCTCTTCTCCGCTGTCTTCCCACTTCCTACTATGGGGCCCTTAGTTATTACTCCAGAAGTAACTGGAGAATAAATTCCTGTTTGGAAATTTCAGGATCACATCCCCCTGGAAGCAAATCCAGGAGGCCTATTCCACACCTGAAGGCCAGGTGCTGGATTGAGGTTGCAGAAGCACTTGGGATATATGTAGAAACAGGAAGAGGAAGGACATCTTAAGATGCTCAGGGCCATCTAAGGAAAGGGGTGGAGTTGGTGATCTGAAGAGATGGATACCTTTCTTCACCACTGAACACATCTCAGTCCTGAGCCTGCCCCTCTCTGCTTTGCTGACAGTCCTAGGATGAGCCTGCCCACTGCTTAGCTGAAACAAGCCAAGGTGCTTCCCTCTTGCTCTCCGGGGAATAGACCATCACAGCTTCTTCTCTATCCATCTATTCCTAAGACAAGTCCTGCCACCCCTCCCAAAACCAGAGACGAGGGTGGAGACAAGACTATTTAAAATCCCCTTTTAGAAACAGACCAGAATGCACTGGACACTAAGTGGTATAGATTGCTTGCCTAGCCACCACCTTTCTTAGAACCAGACAGTAGGGTAATCCTCTCGGTCTGTTTCCAAACCTTTTCCACCCATAGTTTCCACAAGATTTTGTGGGCTCTGACCCTTTACAGCAAATGCCCCCTCTAATGAACCATCTTCTCTCATTTTCAGTTATATGCTGGGAAAAGATGCAGTCACACAAAGATGATAGGGAAGGGGCACAGATTGTATCTAGAAGAACTGAAATTCAATTCAGTGATTTCAATTCCACTCATATATGGGGTACTTACTGCATCTGGCACCAAGCCAGACACTTGGGTTACTGTGACGAGCAAGGGTAAACTCCTGTCCTCAAACAGCTGGAGTGCTAAGAAAGAGTAAATTAAGAAATCTACACTTTAAAAGCAGTCTCTGAGAACTCACTATGTATGAGGTACTGACAACACCACAGGACACAAGATACTCTCCAGTCTTCAACAAGTTTACACACATACTAGGAGACTGATAAAAATGTACAAAATTTCAGATTCTGTAAGGGCTACTAAGCAAACAATGTTGTCCCAAAGAACAACTGAGAAACAAATAGGCCTACTTGAACATAGCTATCTTTGCAAAAGCCCCCTCCCTGGAGGATGTTTATTCTGAGTCTTTGGATTGATTTATGTGCCTCCCCACAGCATAAGAGAAACCCAGGAGTATATAGAGCAATGTGAGGGATCTAGGTTGGGAGGGAACATGGCCTATAGATACAGAATCCTTCATAGGATTTAAAAAGAGCAGATATGCTTCTATGTGAATGTTCAGAAATTTCTGAAGCTGCCCCCCCAAGAATGCAGAATGCAGGGCTGTGGTCATCGCCTAGGCAATGTTAGTGGAGTGGATAGATCTGCAGACACAGGAAGGGCAGATAAAAATCTTGGCAGGAAGGGAAATGTAGGATTCCTATCATGCTAACACTGATCCCTAATCCCAAGGGAAGTCACAGCAGGAGCAGGCATGAAGAAGCAAGCCCTAGATCTGATGGTCAGAGCTGTAGGAACCTACTGGACAGTGAAAGGTTACTTTGATTACCAGAGCATTTCTTCCCTAGCAAAGTTCTGGCTGGCAGCTGGAAAGCACTTCCATTCTCAAAGAGTAAAGGGAAAGGATGATACCCAGGCAGCCTCACTGTTAGCACAAGGGCTTACCAAACTCCCTTCTCCTTCACCCCAAGCACCAGCACGTAAGAGTCTAGACATGATATAATGGAAGCCCTGGATGTGGTGAAAAGTAGACTGGATATCTGGGGAAGCCAAACACTGATGGGATTGACCACTCTACAGAAAATGTAGAGTGCTGGCCATCATAAGGAAGGGAAAGTAAGGACTGGAAAAGTAGTAGTAGCTGCACTGCACAACAAAATATGCACAGGAGTGTGCACATTCTTGTATACACACACACACACACACACACACACACACACAAACATCAGCCATCAGGAACAATTCAGACCCAACCCCCACATACACCCCAATTAATAGTGGTTGAGGCTATGCCTCCAAAGTAACTACTGCCCAGCCTGTAAACCTGCCATCATTCCCAGTCCTGGAGTCTCTCCCTGGTGACCCCAGTCAGTCCCACCAACACTAGTCAAACTTCACCTTAAGCCATCAAGTCTTCCAGGCTGTAACAATAAGGCTGTACAACTGGTACAATCTCATTAATTCTACACAATAGCTTAAAAGTTGTACAACTGGTTTAATCTCATTAAATCTGCATAATAGCTTAAAATGTCATAAAGTATTTGCAGTGTTTTTAGTGATTTCACACAAAATGGTTCCTTTAGAAAAACTGGACTTTTAGCACTACACAGGTTTTCATGTTTTATTGAAGTACTATTTACATTTTCAGTTTCTAGCTGATATGTATTTTGATATAATGAAGTTTGTTTTTTGTTTGTTTTTTCCTTTCACATGGCTAGCCCACTGGATTTTTCTTCCACTAAATCCATTTTCTGATTTCCAATCTCATTGTTATGTCTCCAAGTAACTTTAGCTATTTAGAACCTGAGATTCCAGAGCTAGCTGGTGGGAAACAAAACTCCTTAGCTTCAGGTAGAAAAAACAATAACTAGAACCACAAGTTTCCCAAGCAGAGGAGCCACACTATTGCGCTAAGCCCTGAGGATGCTAAGGCTAGCCCTGGAGAAGAGACAAGGTCACCTCGGCCAGCAGGACTGCAACAAAGGGTGAGGCCCAAACCTCGAAATTGGTCATCTTATTTACAACTCACCTCTACACAGGGTCAGACTATCCCAGGGAGAAAGCTGGTCTTTGTCCCTTGTCTCATGGCAGAAAGTGTACCCTGGGTTTACTTCTCATAAATGCTGGCCCTGAGTGAGCAGCTGCCTGCATGTAAGCCAGTTAAGAGGAAGTTCCACATGCACACAACAAACATCCTGCTCCACAGTGACTCCCCAGCCTTCCCCTTCCATTCCACTATCACTAGCCTTATTAAGTCTTACAATGTCCCTTAGACTGTGATGTTTGAATACCTGATCCCTTTCCCCCAGCTACCTGATGGGACCAAGTCCTTAGAGCAGTAGTTCTCCATCTGTGGGTCTCAACCCCTTTGGAGGATATACTGCCCTCCACAGGGGTCTCATATAAAATATTTACATTATAATTCCTAACAGTAGCCAGCTTATAGTTAGGAAGTAGTAGCAAAAATCTTTTTATGATTGGGGTCAGCACAACATGAGGGTTGTAGCCTTAGAGCCACAGAATGAAGTCCTAACTCATTCAAGCTCCCCTACACATTCCTACCATCTCCACTAGTCTATCCTTGGTATCACTCCATTTCACTACTCATGTCCATGCCATTCCATCTACCTGGGAAGCTGCAAACATCCTTCACTAATTCTAAGTAGCAGCTGGAAACTATTCCTAGTCTCTAGACCAATGCTATCTATTGCCACAGCTTCTAGCCACATAAGGCTATTTGAGTACATGAATAATGGTCATGGACTATTCAAATATGTGTGTGCATATGTGTGTGTGTGTGTACATACATAAACACATACACACACACATACACACACATGTTCACAGGATTTGAAGGACTTAGTAACACCCCCCCAAAAGTACCTTAATTTTCTATACTAATTTCACATTAAAATGATACAGATATTAAGTAAAAAATGACTGGATACAATGGAAAATGTATTAATTATAACATTTTAAGACAGCTGAATTATGTGCTAGAAAAATTAACATAGCTTATATTGAATTTCCACTGGATAAAGTTACTCCGTATTACTATTCACTTATGTTTTCATTGTTTTCTTAGTCAACAAACACAATCCCTGACTTGAAGCTCTGTCCAGTGTGGGGAATGGGGGTGGGCGCTCCATTCCAGCTCTGGCTTGCAAACATATGGAACATATAAGTGACTGCTTAATGTTGTATACTCAAGACAAATGCTCAACACTAACACCATTTTTTGTGCTTCTCCTCCATGCCACCCCCCTCAGGTTCTCCCTAAGATGACATCACATGTGGTAAATGAGATTGATAACATACTGCGCAACAAGCCCTACAGCAAGAAGGACTATAGATCATAAGGCAATGCATGAGCCACAGAAACTGCATGGGTAAAATCATGATGGGTAGGCAGTGCAGAATGACCTTACTAGACACTCTTTTCAACCACTTAGCAGCTTGCTGCTCAACCTCTAGTGTCCCAGGGTTCTCTGAGGTTTCTGCTGTTGCTACCACTGTGCACTCTGAATTCTGAACAAGTGAAAATTCACAACCCAGAAAATCCATTCTATTTTCTTATCTTGGACTGGTCCCCTACCCTTGCATTGCTCTGTGCATTCCATGCTTCTGCAATGGAAAGAATATTGTTATAGGGCAATCTATTATCTTCAGACATTCGTAACTTAAAGAAGGATGTACATATATTTTTTCAAAAGAGCAAAATTCTCAGAACTGAAATAGTATGTAAGCTGCATAGGAAACAGGATATTCTCACTCTTTAGTCTTGCTTGGGAGAATAGAACAAATTTACTTATTTTTTTCATATTTCATATTCACATTACCAAGTTTTAAGTCATCTGTCATTCAACATTAAAATTTCTAGGTATTTGCTTTCACTATCTTGAAGTTATTTGTTGTTGCTTAGCCCTGTACAAATTGTCTGGGGTACCTGTTAGGATTCTAACTTGTCTACTTGCATATAGAGGTATAAAAGTATAAATAGCCCAATCTTTACTAGACATAATGGCTAATAAATAAAAGGGTTACAATGCTATGGAAACAGCTTTGAATAAAATGTTGTGTTTACTTTTTACATTTTATTAAAGCCTGCATATACTTTCAATTACTAGTAGGCACAATTCCTGCAAGGTTAAATATTTGACTTTTAAAAATACACATATACTAAATTTTTTAATTAAACCTATAAATACCCAGACAGGCAAGTGTTCAGTTTACCACTGGGACGTTATAGTATAATGCTTGGTTTTCTGAGGTGTTACTAACATGAAAGCAAAGCATAAGCAATGTAAAAATATGTTGTCATTCCTCAGCATATGCTGGATGAATTAACTTGCCCAGAAAAAAAAACAAAATATCCAAAAAGCTCCTGATTCTAATTGTGCTACACAGTACACTATATGCATGAGAGCTCTTTGCATGCAAAAAAAAAAAGGAGCTTAGCTTTGTGCCCAGAATCTGAGATCTGCCCAGCTCGGCCTCTATCCCACTGGAGAAAAACTGTAACACTATGCTGTGTGGATATCTGCAAATAAGGAGAAAACACAGCATGTGTTTTTCTTTCTTTTCTGTAAAGGTGGGGTCATTTCCTAACTTTATCCATCTGTAGATGAATAAAATTCTACTTTATCTAGTCAGCAAGTTCTCTATGACTTTAAGAATTATACAAGAAGTATATGAATTCAAAATCATTTTCAGATACGTATCATACGGTTAAGTTCTAAATCTCAAACTGTCAGTGACAGATATCAACAGATACATGATTGTTACTACCTAGAGTCTAATAGACAATTAGGAAGTTCTGCCCATGAGTATTTGACTAATGATGGAGACTAACTAACTTTCCAGCTATTCATTGTAAATTTAACTCACTGAACTACTGTATGTATAAACAAGTGGCGTGCTGTCTAAAGGAAATCAACTCATTTGCTTAGAGTAATAAAGGCATCTGTGTAATCCCATAATACATCTTTGGGTCTTTCATTATAAGGCTTAAGATACATACACTCTCTTGTATATAAATGTCACCACGAAGTAAATAATAATCACCTAAATAAATTACATCAATAGCCATATTGCACTGAATGCTTAACAGAAGTCACAGTGACCAAAACAGGCTGAAGCAAGGAGTGGCAGTACACACCCTTACTCCCAGTTCTAGGGAGGCAGAAGGATCAAGAGTTCATTCAGTTTGAGCTATATTAGACCCTCTCTCAACCACACCCATTCAAACAAAAAATTCAAAACAAAAACACAGATTTGCATTGCAAACTGGCGCGCGCACACACACACACACCTGTAATCATAGCACATGAGAAACTAAGGCGGGAGAACCTTAAGTTTCAGGCCAGCTCGGACTGCACTTAGAAGACAACTCCAAAAATTTTTGCTGAAACTTTTCTTCCCTTTTCAATGTATGCTTACATATGTGTGCACACATACAAAGTTTAAAAAAATTATAGACCCTCCCAAACTTATATGTACTGCCCTATTTGAGATGATAAAAAAGATGGGAAATAAACTTGTATGGCCCCCTAGAGATATGCTGGATTTCTCCACATATGCACATATGTACATACATACAAATACTTTCTTAATGTATCCAGAAACTGCAATGCCTGGTAGACAAAGAAGCCACATGAGCAGGAGGCACAGCAGGCACAGCACACTATGCCAGGGACCTGATGGCTCTTGAACTGTGTTGTGTCTGTCACCACCTCATAGACAAGCGAGCAGTAACATAACAGTGCATGTGTAGGAAAGATGGCTAATATAAAACATGTAATAAAGATACTCACATGGTTTGCGTAAAGAATTGCAAAAACACACATTTTTAAAAACAAAGTTTAATCATACTTGTCAAAAACAAGACTTTTCCTAAGAATGTTGAGTATAAATTCAACTTCCATTATTTCAATTAACTTCCAATCCTGTTTCAAATTATCCTTCCCAAGTTAAAACAATATACCAAAAAGGACAAGACTTCTATTAAGTTACAAATGAGTAAATCAAGAAATGAAAATGCTTAACACTAAGATTCTACCTATCATAGATATGGAGTAAAAATAAAAATAAAAATAAAAATAAGCACAGAGTGTCCTGTTTTACGGGTGCTACATATATGAGGTCCTTTTAAGATTAAAAACTCTGCCATAGGATTTTACTGTCATGCACATCTTAACTCTATTTGCCACATTCAATGATAGAGATTAGGGAACAGGGTCCGAATTTCTAAGTGTAAAGGATTGATACATTTAATCCTTAAAAGGAGCTGATGGTCTGGCCATATGACTTCATACACAGAAATCTGTCTGGTAGCGAGGTCATTTTGAGTTAAAAACAAAGATGGCTGTAGGAAACATTCAAGACAGAAATAAACAGCACAATTACTCCCCCAGCAAATTTTTGGTTAAAAATTCAAAAGAATTAAAAATTTGAGGCTGGCACCTCTACTTCACCATTCCTGAGCTGCTGGCAATATTGTCAAATAATGGTGGTGACTTCCTTCCCTTCTACATAGGCACTGCCACCTAGTGGCAAGTTTGCAGCAGCCACTTAGAAGGTGCTCGACCCAGCTCTAGTAACAAAGATGGTGTATTAAATTGTTTTATTAGGTACACAAACTGTCACCAACCAAATGCTGATTAAAACAGGAGAACCAAACACCCTACCTCATGTGTTACCTAATATACTTTGCTCTGAGTCTCTTCTCATTTCCTACTATTCCACTATTCCACATCTCGTGGTAAGGGCACTCAGATAACTATACCACAGCACTTCCAGAAGCATGGTAATATGATTCAAGGCTGACAGTAAGAAGTAAGGTGACTGTACAAAGGCATTCCTCTGACCTTCCCTAAGTTCTTACTGCAGACCACTGAAACATCCACCCGCACAGAAGTAGCTCAATTCTTGGTGAGCACATCTTCAAAGCCCTCAAAAGTTTACAAGCAGAAACTAAACGTTAGGAATACTTCCCTTTGAGGTGCCATTTATAGAAGTCCCTGGGTGTGGGACTTCCAAATGTGGAAGTCATGAAACACATGGAATCTGTATTGGGAGACAGAGGGCACAATGTGAGACTGCTCTTAGCTAGGCCCCAAAAGCATTTGTTCGCAATTGACAGGAACCCTCATTTCAAAAAAAAAAAAAAAAAAAAAAAAAAAAATTGCTGACAGCCCTTTTAAAGCACTGTAAATTCCTTGGAGAGTTCACTGAATTCCAGGGCTAAGTTCACAAAAAATTCTTCTGGTCTCTCATGTGTCAATAATCAGGAAAGAAATGCTTTCTCACTTAATATTCTGCCTGTGGTGCCGAGAGCCTGGTCACAGAAAACAATGATTCCAGTGACTTCACACATCAAACCAACATGGCAGGGTCAAGCTGACCTCCCTGGCCGCCAAGGGCCAGAGCCATACAGCTGAACAGTGTGTGCTTTAGCTTCACAGGCCAACACTCATAGGCAGGGTACTATTTTTAGATTACTAACTTGGCTGCCTTTCTTTTTAGAAAGAAAGAAAGAAAGGAAGGAAGGAAGAAAGAAAGAAGAAATAGTTGCAAGTTTCTCTCCCTCAAGTTGGAGAGGGCATGTTTTTGAGTTATTATAAATTACAAACTCAAGAGACTTCTGTTTAATCCCTTGGGAAGAGGATTCACTCTGAGATTTACAGTCGAAAGTTGTAATATTGTGCTTGGAACACAGAGAACTAGTTATTAACTTCTTCCTCCTATTATAAATAATAACAGCTCAGTCCAGGTTACCATGACCTCTGACAGATGTAGGAAACAAGTTATTTTCTCCTCTTATGATTAGAGCACATTGCAAGACTTCTTGCCTTTTAATATCCCGGTACTCCAAGTTTCCCTTTCAACTCATTTAATTTCAACAATCTGTCAAAAAGAGCCAATAAACAAACACTGTATTATATTCTATTGCATTTTTAAACCCTCAAACTCCAGACTATAAAAAACATCATGTGTGTCTCCCAACCTGGCCACCCTGTTACTTTTCCATACACCACTGGCCACCCATAGATACAAAGGCAGGGGGCCAAGCTCCATGGTCTACTTGGAGCCAGTAGAGAGGAGAGCGATGAGTCCAGATGAAGCACTTATGGACAAAATGTAGTTCCTGCAAGAATATAATGTTAAGGAAAAAGTGAGACCCCAAAACTAGATTTCAACAATAAAATAGCCTTTTCTTATTGACACAAGAATGTGTGTGTAGTTTCACTGTCTGAAGGCTATAAAACACATACAATGTGTTTTAATATTGAAAAGACATTGAGTCAAACCTAGAAGAAATAATAATCACAAAGAACACATCTTATTTCCACTTAACTCTCATGAGAAGAGTTGGTCAAAGAACATCAGACACCAACGGTCAAGGGCAAAAAGGCCCATGTTAGAGTCCTGCTATTGTTGACCTATTCGGTTCAGAAGGTTCCTAGCTCTTTACAGGCTCTTTGAGCAAACCATTCTGGGGCCACTCTGGCAAGACCCACCAGTATTCCCAAAAGGCATGAGCTGAAAGGGGTCTGATGTTTCATTACACCATGACCTCTGACTGTTAAAAGTTTGGCTGCATTTTCCTGGATGACACCTTTAATAACAAATTCCTTTAGTAAAAGACAAACAGCTCTTGGCCAAAGCTCAATTTACAAGCATCTTTAATGCTATCTGTGCCTGCATGGGTAACTACCCTGGCCATCCAGCTACCCCCAAAGCCAGCACAAACATATAAAGGAGCTAGTGAAGACATCACATTTGCCTGCTCTGACTCCTTTTAGACAGGAAAGTAGACAAGCTCACACACACAATTTAACACTTACCACAAGACTAACTTACAGACTAAAGAAACAGTAAGGCAAGCCAGAAACTTCTAAGTTCTAAGTCCATAGACACCTGCCTAAAGTTAGTACTATTTAACTAGCTCTGAGGAGTTTTTGTTTCCACTAACAGACCAGACGGCTTAAAAATAAAACAAATTACTGTTTACAGACTTCTGAAAACTTTTTAAAGGATACACTGTGGGGTTGAAGTTCTTCAGTATAAAGAAAGAAGCAACAATGACCAAAACCAGGAACAGAGTGTTGTTATAGAAAATGGAAAACGTTGTGGCTTCATAATCAGCAACTTCATTCTTCTTCCACAGGATTCTATAGATACAAAAACAAGTTAAACAAGTTTATAAATATGAACAAAAACTTTAAATACCAAATGGTTCTCATTCATTACAAGAAAAACTTTTCCTTGTGTTCAAGAGTAACAATGCATTTGCAGTGTGAAATTTAGAGCAAATTACCTCCTTTCTTCCACTGAATTCTATTTTCCTTGTTGATTGCAAATAATAGTTGCTGGGGTCTTGCCACATTCCCAAACAGCAAAGAATACAGTAGAAGGGAATGACATTAATTCCAACTGGCACAATTTTATAAGCACCTGTGTCTTTGTTTAAGAGTCCCAGGGAAGGGAGTACCCAACCTGAGGCCTGTGGACCAGCCATGTCCCAGGACTGCTATGGATGTGACCTAACACATTTATACATGTCAAAAAGTTGATATCCTTGTTTAGGTCTGTGCTTGAAACTTAAAAATCTCAATGGTTGGTATGGCATGGGCTTCTTTGGCTTTAGCTTCTCTGACTGCATCTTGGCTTAAGGATTTCTAATCTATGGGCTTCAGCCTTTAGTTTCACATCTTAAAGGGATAATGCCAAGAACAAAGCTAGCCACCATCTCACCAGGTCTATCTGCAGCTGTCAATACTAAATTTGAAGAAGGAATCTACATGATTTTTAAGATGATTGTTTTTTAATGTCTATAAAATTCTAACTTTTAAATCTGTTTCACTTGCTCCCATATTTATCTGCATCTTCTCTCTCCAAATTGGCCAAGAAGATGTTTCAGAATGCTTTTGATTAAGGCAGATTTTATTCCATTTGGCTATTTAACTTTGTAAAGTCATTTGGTAGAGCAGGCTGATCCACTGGTGGGATATGAAATAAAGTAAGTTGTTCAAATGCCCAGAGAAATTAAGCAAGTGGGTTGAAACTTGCTCTTCTTTAATGCAACAGAAAAAAAAAAAAAAAAATGAGAGAGAGAATCCACCACACACAGTGTGGTAATTACTGTTTTCTGAAACATTTGTATGTACAAATTATTATAGTTGGTTAAAAGGTGAAATGCTGCTTCACTGTGGAGTGATCATCAAAAAGATTAAAAACTGCAACTCTAGATGCTTTGTCCTCCTGGGAAGACATCCAACTCTGATCCGATGATGCGATGCAGAGCCCTCCCACCCACACCACAGGGACTGCTAACTGACATTCCTACTTATCATGTACTCTAGTCCAAATTCAAGAAGCTTGGCTATAAGAGCTAAAATGAGAGTATAATCATCCATTCTCACCATGAGAAATCTGTAGTCTCTAATAACACCGATGCTCAATGTCCTTAATTTTTACAAACACAACTTAATAAACTTACTCTACTTTGGGAAACAGGAAGAACATTATATTAAAGTATACAACTAAAAAAAAAAAATTCTGATTTCAAAGAAGAGTAAGTCCAAACTGGAGGAAATATATTTTACCACTTTTACACTGCTCCAAGGAAATCAAGCACAGAAAGGCACACAGGCCCAATGCACCTGAATGCTAAGACATACTCAGAATCAACACGGCTATTTTTGACTCTGGCATAAGACCCAGTGAGCTATGGCATGCTTTTACTCTGCTGATTAAATCGTCTCAGTGACATCTGAGCAGGTCTCCCTAACTCACTTCCTGCCATGACCCGAAAAAGAATCACCTCCAAAACAACTGAGATGAAAGTCTGAATATCCAATCCACGATGTCACACCAGGGTATATAAGTCAGAACCATCTGAATGTCTTCAAAACATGTAGGTCCACCCACATACTGGTTATTTTGAAATAATTTTAAAAACCCAAACGTATTATTACCAATGGTTCTAACAAGGCTTCACTGGTAGAAAATTTAGCTTTGGAGAATATCTCCCAAGAAATCATTCTCCAGAAACAGCTCACTAAAATAGGAGAAAAGGAAAAACCAAACAGCAACTGTTGCAAACAGATAATGCAGACAAAAGAGATCCAGGAAATAAGTAACAGTCACACCTCCAAACACCTGTTGAATCTCTAACTAGCCACTGCTTATTTCCATCCTGGGGCAAATGGCATGATAGATACATGCCTAAACAGCTATAAATGGAGCCTGCAGGGAGACACAAGATGTTGTACCTTTTCTTACACCAAATCTCTTGGAAGCAGCTTATCCTCTAACAGCAGCTTACCAGATCTGAGTCTCTGATCTTTTATCCAGATCAATCGAGTCTAGACCTGGGTAAAACCAGGTCTAGAAATATTAACAGCACTAATTTCTACTGGTGACAAGAGGAATTTTATAATCTGCACTTTACACATCCACCTGACATACTTTGAATAGCGAAGTCAACAGATGGCAGAGGTTTCATTCCAAGTTCCGTTCTGACTCACTGCTAATAACTACCTGAATGATTTTCAGCATGATAAAGATTCTGAGACATCCCAGGACCAAAAACCAATACACAGAGCAGATGAGCAAGCCCACAGCGGGCAGGTAAGACCTGTTTGCCATTTCCAATATGACCACCTCCAAAACCTTGATAGCTGTGTCAATTACTCTGAAATATTGCCCTACATAATTCAGCAAAAAGGGGTTTTAGGGCTACAGATTCTCTTTTATTTCTACTCAAAATTATGCCACCAAAGAGCTATGTAGCCAAACTGTTCTCTATAAAAGGCTTTCATTGCCATGACTTTTAAATCATATTCTCAATTTTAATAAAGTATCCACAAAAGATAATCATTTCATTCATGTTTGGTGCCTTTCCAAACCACTGTAGAAGCTTTGTTCATTAAGTTGGTGTTCTTTCAATCAGGGTCTACCTGAGAAAGTCCTTCCACAGGCTAGTGCCAGGAAGACTTCCTTTCTGCAGCAGACCACGTCACTTCACATCAGAGTGAAGACAGCATTACCTCACACACACCTGGGAACTCAAAAGCAAACACAATGCTCAAATACTGGAACTAATTCCAAGGTCATCATTTAAACACCTTTTCTTCCTTTTAAACAGTTTCCGATCTTACAAAATTACATTACTCTGCAAAGCCGACACAAAGTCTTTTCGGGGGAAAGTGCAGTAACATCTCGTCCTACAAAGCACCTCGCTAAAGCTTAAGATCCATGAAAACAACCATGCTGTTAACAGTTAATATCTGGTACCACTTATGCACCAATTACTTGATCAGTTTAGGACTTAGGCACTTCATACTGATGGACTGTTTAAGAAGTCTTCTAAGAGCAGCTGGCCAAAAAGGAAAAAAAGAGAAAAAATGGGGGTTAACAAACATATAACACCACAAACTCAGGCAATAGAGGACAAACCCAGTCCTTCCTTTCCCCAGTCGCTGCATTCAGTGTCCATATACACATGGACACCCCTGGGAAATTCAGAGTCACAACTACTAAAAATGTTAATGATACCCTTCAGAGAGCCTGTTTTACCATGGATCTATGTATCAACAGCCAAGTTATTAAGCTTTCTAGACCTTGTTTTCCTTGCAATTAAAATGGAGTCTGGCGTGTGTGTGTGTGTGTGTGTGTGTGTGTTTTCAGAGCTGACCATTTAAGAGTACATGATCAATTGTGTGCTCTTAGGAGGCTATTTCACCCTGTCTCAGCATTCTTAATTGCCTGTAATTCTTTGTTGAGGCCTCATGAGTCTTCCCCTTCTACATCATTGTCCATCAATGTCTTCTTCTTCCTTGTCCAGGTCACATGTAGGCATCTATGCTGATGAGAGCTCATGGGTGTAACTTCTCTGACATTTCTAGTAGAGCAGAATTTCACAGCAAATGTCCTGTTCCTCTGGTTCTTACAATCTTCCTCTCCCCTCTTCAGTAACGATTCCGGAGCCATATATGCAGGAATCACATTGCAGATGTACATCTAACTCTTTAGAGAAAATTAGCTTAATATATCTCAAAGAAAAGGCTCTAGTGGTAGCAAAAATCAACAAATGTCAGCTATTACTATCACCACTGCTACTACTTATAAAACTCCAACATCTACTATCTTTAACGAGAATTCAAAAACTTTTCTCCCAAGTTTTATAACTAACACTTTAAATAAGGAGCCAAGGGGATGGAGAGACAGATTAAAGAGTGTTTGGAAAGCAAACATGATGAGCACAGTTTAGAAGCTAGTAGCCATGGAGAAGCTGGGCATGGTCCCATGCAATCTGTAACCCCAGCTCTGAGAGGAAACAGGTTCACCTGCTGGCCACCAACCGTTGTGGGTTACTCCTGGTTCAGCAAGAGAAAGAATACAGTGGAGAGTGATGGAAAAAATACCTGACACCATTTTCTGGCTTGCAATGCACACAGATATGTATAACTATGTACATATGTACACACACACACACACACACACACACATACGCACATCTAACCTCTCATCTTTCTCCTTCCGAGACATCTTTCTGTTATCAGCTTCAGAAAGTTTTCGAGTCACTTCTTTGGAAACAGCATCCTCCCTCTTTTGTGCTACTCTGAAAGAAAACACAGAAAGAAAAAGGTTTTCCACATGCTCTAGAGATGAAAAGCAGTCTCGCAAAACACCGTACTCCCATTTTATATTGGCAACTGAATGATACTTTACATTTCAAGAAAGTTAACTGGACAGAAAGTCCCAAACCTATTACACTGTACAAGCCTAAGTTCAAGAAACTCTCAAGATATGGTTTCTTAGTTATGGGATTTGATTTCTGCTTGAAAAGTAACATTTTCCAAAGTGGGGGCATTTAATAAGCCAAATACTATTAGCACAACTCACTGTGATTACATTTTTTCCCCCTAAAGTTCATAGGATGTTTTATTACTGATGTGATTCAATTCCAAGTAGACTACAGGACAGACTTCTTGATTTAATACATGAAGGAAAATAACGATAGGACCTTAAAGCTATGCTTGTAACTCCATTCCAAAGACCAAAGAACAATTTTATTTAAAAGAAATAACAGAGCATGGTCAGAGGCTGACCGTAACACTTATAGTTAAATTAGCCAGCCCCTGGTTTAAGTTAACACTGAGTCAGACAGACAGTTTGATCAAGAACTCATATGAGAAACTCCAGATCTGAGTTGGGAGTGTGTGGCAGGTGGTGGAAAAAAGCACACTCATCAACTGGACATGATAACAAAATCCCAGTGCTTGGGAAGTGGAAGCACAAGGTTGAGAGTTCAAGGTTAGCCTCAGCTACATGCTGTCTTGTCTCAAAAAAGTATGCAGATCAAAACAACAAAAAAATGTACAGATGAATTTTATCAGGTAGGTTATTAGTGAACAGGTAAATTTAAAAAATAAAATATACATAGCCAAAGACTAAGAAGTGTATTATTTACAGAATTAAGCTACAGATAGCCCTACAGAAGAGAAAGTAGTAATAACAACATGAAAACTTACATGGGGTAACTAACAGCCCCACAATGCGCCCACTATGAAAGAATTCAATGCAACAACCCAACAGAATAGAAAACAGATAGAAGCCTGTTTGTTGTGTTCAAGTCCTCAGACTTACATTATCACATGGGTATTTAGTTCTGGTCAGCAAATCAAAGAACACAGGGCAAACATGGATAGACACCTAGAGAATATCCAATATCATTCATTCAACCACGAAGAGTCTAGATGCAAGGTGAGCAAAGACTGGCTGATTTTCACTCAAGAACAAAGTTAGAACTGACACTGATAAAAAGTAAAATTCAATGAATATGTCTTTAAAGGGTCATCATTACTTTTTAATGTTATGACCCCAAACTGATAACCCAGGGAGGTGAAGCTAAGGAAAAATAGATGAGTTAAGGGGTCAGCTATTTAAGATCCTCCAGAGTACATTTTTATTCCAAAGACCCAAGCTCATATGACAGTACGTAAAAATCACCCTTTTGGCTGTTTCATTCACTCCTGAAAAAGCTGAGTTCTTAAAGGAGACTGCCTTCTCAACATCTCTAGCAAACGAACCATTTCCTGAACTCAAGGCTCTTTTTCCCTATATAAAGCCTCCAAAGAGATGGGGATGGGACAAATGGTCCATAGCTGAACATCAAAACCAACATACACATACTCAAGCTGCTCTATAAGACAATTCTATGTGAAAGACCCTAAACCAGACAACCAACTTCTCTACTAGGTCTAGCATTCTATTATTTACCAACTAGAGACTCAATGAACACCAAGTTTACTCAAAAAAGAAGTCCTCTACAGTACCAGATGTCTTAAGTCTTCTGGAAAATATATCTCACAAGACAAGTCCCTCCAAGTGCCCAGCACACTGTCAACTGAGAAATTCATGGTAACTATTTTTACTCTTTTTTCCCCCCCAACAGTACATCAAACCTTTCAAGGGGGGAAAAAACATATTTAATTTCTTAAAACAAAATGTCTAATATTTAAATCATGACCCCTTTCTAAAAGACAGTTCCTAAAGGTTTTCACAACTTTGAACAAAACATACATTGCATGCATTTTAGTGGAAATAGGCATCCAGGGTAGAATTTGAATATTTAAGCAGTAGTTTATAATCACTGGTTCCATCAGAAAAACAAATCTACAAAATAAATTAATGTTAGAACTGATTTTGGAGGCAATTTTGTTTTTTTTAAATTTTTATTTTAACTTTATGTGCATTGGTGTGAAGGTGTCTGATCCCCTGGAACTGGAGTTACAGACAGTTGTAAGCTGCCTTGTAGATGATGGGAATTCAACACAGGTCCTTTTAAAGTGCTCTTAAACCATTGAACCATCTCTCCAGCCCACTGTATTTCACCTCCCCGGCTTCTGAGTACTGTTAAATCCTTGTCTTACACCTCTAAAGTCAAAAATGTAAAAGAAAAATATATAAACCAGGACAATACAATTAAGAGTAGCAGAATCTAGACTTATTAGCTCTGAAGCCATCTTCCCTATCATCTTATCCTATAAGTACTCACACTCTCACTGAATCTGTAAGACTTACAAATCATGTAAAACTACAACAGGTTTACTTTAGGATTCCTATGGGCAGGAGCATGTAAAGGCCAGAGGACAACCTTGGGGACTTTGTTCTCTTTCCATTGTGGGCTCTAGGAACCAAATTCAGCTCATTGGGTTTCCATGACAAGTTATTTTACCCACTGAGCCATGTCACCAGCCCTGCATCTATAGGTTCTATGTCAGCTACAATACTTACTACCTCAAAACTATGACTAAAGGAAAATCTACTTAGGAGCGTACTAAGTCAGTAAGCCAGTGAAATTTTTACTAAACTACAATGTATTATTAACTGTTCTAAGAGCTACAAAGCAAAAGACATAGTTGCCCTCAAGAAGCCTAGAGTAGAGAGTAGAACTCAGGTAAAAAGAACAATTTGATCCCAAAGAAATGCATAAACAGTGAGCACCATTCAGAATAAGTAACAAAGCTTAACCAAAAAAAAAAAAAAAAAAAAAAAAAAAAGAAGGGGGACTGAGCTACAACAGGATTATAAAGGATAGCCATACAAGATTCTATTTCTGATGGACTTTCTATCCAGACATCCATGTCCCATAAAACATAGTCCAGAAGAGTAGAGGACGTAATGAACTGAATCTTCAAATGGCAGGTGGCAAAGAGGCTGCCAAACAGAAGGACGACAGAGATGAGTTTGATTAGTCTGCAATCATGAAGCCAAGCCTCTGCATGCCCAGGACAGCAGCTGCTCAGGCCACTGCTGGCATGTTTCTTAAATAAAACCCTGTTAACTGAAATTATAGTATGATACTAATTCCTTGTCAACTGCAAGAGTCTGCCATGAAGACAAACAAAGGAATGATCAAAGTCAGGTAGGATTCTCTGGAAAAGTTTTCTGAGTCTTAAAATAACAGACAAATAAGAATAGAAAACAGGGAACATTCAAGGATGACAAGAAGGCTAAGTCTAACTCTGAAAGTTAGTTTTCAGAGAAGGAGGCTAATGACTTTGATTCTAAGAACCTGAAAACATTTTGGGAATTACTGTATTATAGAAAAAAAGGCACAGTGTGTTAACAAAATAAAAATGACAGATAAAGAGGAATATGTCACTTCCTAGCCTTTTGGTTAAAATATCTTTTAATATTTTTATTATTACTATTATCATTATCATCATCATCATCATCATCATTATTATTATTTGGCCTGCACATAGGTCTTTGCACCAGAGATATGCCTGGTGCCTACAGAGGCCAGAAAGCATCAGATTCCCTGGAACTGGAGTTACAGTTATGTGCCACCACGTGGGTGCTGGGAATTGAAACTTGAGTCCTCTGGAAGAGCAGCCACTTAACCACTGAGCCATCTCTTCAGTCCCTCATCTATATGTATAATTTTATCCCATAAAATATGGATGATGTAAGGGGAAAAAATATCATCAAGTAGCTTTATACAGTGCCTCTCAGAGGAGGCCTTATGTTATATCAATCCAATCAAAAAATTTCTAATCAAGTGTGGATACTATGGGAAATGAGGGGAAATAGGAGGTTGGGGTAAATACACAGCATGTTTAAACTCAATATCCCTACTGTCTTTTAAAAATTACTTTAGAAGCTGGAGAGATGGCTCAGCAATTAAGAGCACATACTGCTCTTGAAGAGAACCTGAGTTCAGTTCCCACCACCCATCTCAGGTGATTCAGAACTATGTATAATTCAAGCTCCAGGGAATCTAACACTCTCTTCTGTCTCCAATCATGTATACAAGCACACCACACCATACATACACACACCCAAAAATAAAAAGTAAATCATAAAAATGTTTCTTAGAAGAAAAGCCAAATCCAGAAGGTTATTGAATAAACCAGAGAGTATCTAGCTACTCCCAAAGTGTATATGAAAGTAACTCTAGAGAACATCTTTTCAAATCAAATATTAATTCATACTGTGCCTCCCAGAGGACCACAACACTCTAAAATAATAAGTTATTGCTAGTGTGGCTGCTCATGCCTGTAATTCCAACATCATTCACAAGATCAGCCAGCTCAAATAAATAAATAAATAAATATTTCAATGATCATGAGTCTACACTCTCCTGTTTTATCTCTAAGAAAGCAGAGTATACAAGTGCATATAACATAAAAATCTACTGAGGTAACACTTGGGTTTTCTTCTCCAAAAGCTATTAAGATAACTTGTCAGCCAGGTAGTGGTGGTGCATACCTTTAATCCCAGCACTTGGGAGGCAGAGGCAGGCAGATCTCTGTGAGTTTGAAGCCATCCTGATCTATAACTAGTTCCAGAACAGCTAAAGAGATACACAGAGAAACCCTATCTCGAAAAAAAAAAAAAATGAAATAATAATAATAATAATGTGTCTTATAATACACATGTGATCTTGAAATTCAAGAAATATTGATATCTTTTACAGTGAATAACCTTCAAGATTAAAATAAATGTAACTGGCATTGAAAATGTCAGAGAATCTTTTTTTAAGTTGCTTCCAATGGGACTGGAGAGATGGTTCAATGGTTTAAGAGCACCTGTGTTGAATTCCCATCATCCACAAGGCAGCTTACAACTGTCTGTAACTCCAGTTCCAGAGGATCAGACACCTTCACACCAATGCACATAAAGTTAAATAAAAATTAAAAAAAAAAAAAAAAAAAACAAAACTGCCTCCAAAATTAGTTCCTTCTAAAATTAGTTTATTTTGTAGATTTGTTTTTCTGATGAAACCAGTGATTATAAACTACTGCTTAAATATTCAAATTATACCCTATTTCCACTAAAATGCCAGACTGCTCAAGGGATTATCAATTCTCCAGGTATCAATTTGCCTTGTTCCCAAAACATATACACATGTTTCAAACTAATGCTTATAACAATAAAGCATCTGTAAGAAGACACTACCAAAAAATATGCAGTGTATCATGGGTACTTGACTTGACGAATGTACTTACTTGTGCTTGAGAACAAATTTTACATTCTTGTATGCAAAGGCTACCAAGTAAGTGCTTACTAATGTCATCACACTGTAGAGAACAGCAGACTGGATAAGATCCATATGCCATATTCGCCAATACAACCCTGAGTTCAGACAAAAGGAACACAAAAGGGAACAAACATTAGTATGGCATTACACAAGCCTGCCGGATTATTTATAGGAAAACCAGGTAAAAGAGTTGGCAAATCCCACTCAAACTGGGAAACTTCACTAGAAGTAGCATACCCAATACCCAGTTAGTCTCAGTTCAGGGCTTTCCCACTTCATAGAGTTGGGTTGTGGGGGTATGACTAGTCTAGAGATTTCTTCATCAGATAACTTAAGACAAAACTAGAAATAAAAAGTCACAAATCAAATTTCATTCATGGAGTACTATTATAATTTGACATAAAGTGCCTAATACAGCCACTTTATATCAAATGCTGTCCCAAAGCATTGATTTACTTGCTGACGTGGCTGCTCTCTGAAATTAAAACAACGCTTTCCCGGGCCAGTTTAGCAGGGAGCTCCACACCACATTCACTGCACACTGAGTTTGCACGAAGCCTAAATAAAATACATTTGGATGTGACTGGGCTGCAACAGTGTGACCCAGGAGACAGAAACTCGGAAGACCTAAGCCTTGGCGTGCCTAGTCTGCAGGTTCCATTCAAACGCGAAGTCTAGAGGTGCTCTCTCAAGGTTGTTAAATCCTAAACAAGGCTGATCGCTGACCTCTGACCTCTGGCCCTGGCCTAACTTCTGCCCTTCTGCAAATCAAAAGGATGCTCAGGGGTGAGGTTCGCTGATAATTCAGGGGTACCGGTGGGTCTCTCATCTGGCTCACGCAAACAACAGTCGTGCGGGGAAGGACAGGTGGCGACACGAGTATACCAACAAGAGAATCCCAGACAGAACCCGCGCCCGGCTCAAATGCAAGCCATGAATGACTTCCCGGGGACGCCGCCCCCGATGCTCCACCGCCCGCCTTCCCGCGGCCTCAGGTCTCCCCACCAGGCCCGCCACGTCACCGCCGCCGCCCGCCCGCAGCTCACAGATGGGGATGGCAGACACGATGAACGCGTTCCCGAAGAACAGCGCCGACGACTTGGCCGACAGGTTGCGGCTGAAATCCTGAAGAAGCAGGTCCTCCTCGGACTGCTGCTTGGAGCCACCTTTAGGAGCCATGGTGGAGTTGGAGACCGGAGGCCGGGAGCAGGAAAACCAAGAGGGCACAGACAGCCGCGTGTCCGTCCGAACCGCGAATCCGCCTGCGACCCGTCAGCGCAACGTGGAGGCGGGACTCCGCAGGGCACGCTGCTCCGGGATTGGTCAGCCTGCCTCCGCTACACAAGCCTCGAGGCACGATTGGGCATACGAACAAGACTTCCGCATTCCTTAAATCACGTGATTGCACAACGCCGCAAGGAATATAGGGATTTGTAGTTTACTATGTATATTTGGCACTCGCACTCAAAGTAGCTAAAGCTAGTCTCGAATTTGCATGACTGCCTCATTCTCCAAAGAGCTTGGATAACTAACTTGAGCAACCACACAACAAGCAGTACTTTTGTTTTAACTGACGAGCTTTACTGATACTTCATTTCACATATGTACTTGTTAATTCTTGTTTTTAAATTTATTACATTGATTGATTGGATGATTGGATTGGAGTACTGTGCCACAATTTAAATTTGAAAGACAACAAGTTTTCTCTTCCACTTTCTGGGTCCCAGAAATTGAACTAAATTTTCAGGTTTGCACCTTTATCCTCTAAGCTATCTCCAACGGCCTGAGGTATACTTCTATTATTATTATTATTATTATTATTATTATTATTATTATTATTATTATCTTAACTAACAAAACCACTTAAACCCTGAAACACTCTCTAATTTCAGTCTTCAGGAACTTGAAATCTTGGGGAGAAAGAACATTTATTCAGTAATTCAATGAACATGTGGACAAAGGTTAACACAGAACATTGGAGAAGGAAGTTATATATAGAACTTGTATGCATCCTTTATTTCATTCTCATGTAGCCCAGGCTGGCCTCAAAGACGACCTTCCCTCCAAGAGCTTCTTTGTTCCCTGTGCCTGGTTTTATAGCAGGTCCTAGGACTGAACTCAGGACGTGTATGTTAAACAAGCACTCTAACAGATTAATTATATCCCTAGCTTCTCATCACACAGTTAGAATCTTTGGACAAACACATCATAGTGCCCACTGCAGATGGAGAATTGAGACGTAAGAGACAGGCCCTAGTCTCCTGTGCATGAGCTCTGTTCACCCAAGAAATAGATATAAAGAAGTCACTACAATCATAAATTTGTCGTGATTGATTGGAGGGCCATGCCATAATGTAAGTGTGGAGATCAGAAGACAACTTGGGGAATGATCAAATGATAATAATATTCAAGACCTGTCTCATAATTTTACAAATACTGCTATTTTGTTTATTTTTATTTCAGCTTAAGCCTTTTTAGAGTACAATGTCTTCTAACAATATTCTAAATAAAACTGAAGACAACCTTTGGGAAGACTCCTCTGAAGCTCAGAAAGACTGTACTAACACAGATGCCATTTTAACTGACCAGTTGATCACTTTTCCTTTAAAAAGACTTACACGACCACTTCCCAGAAAATGCTTCTTCTTTTCACTCCACTACTGCAAACATTCCAGTACACTGGGCAAAAGTTCCTCAGCCTCCAGCTTCCCTCCCAGAAGATTATGTATATCATTTTTCCCTTTGCTTTATCCAAATGGCTACTGACCTGCAGAGCCATGATCCCCCTTGAGCTTTTTATCTTCAGTCCTTTCTGAAATCTGTTCTCGACATAGGTTCTGAAATGGGCTTTCAGGAAATATATGTCCATCTATTGTCAACAGTGAGTATCCTCCATTTCACCACAAAAGAAAAATTAGAAATGGACCATCTAGCATATTGTTCAGCAACATGCAAGAACTCATTTCAGAATCTCTGGGTCTACTCCTGGTGCTGCACCTCTTCCCTGCATTGCATCACAGTGATAGAAAAAGAAACGTTTCTGCATCATTCATTACCGGACTTAGGTGCTTTAGTAAATCATACCTCTTTCATTCCTTTGCACAGGTTAAAAGACTAACCATTTCTTTGTGTTACTTCCTTCATCTCTAACCAACTCATAAACAGAAATTTGGAAACCTATATCTATAACTGTGTTTCCTTCTGGCTATAAGGCAAGGATATAAAAAGCACATAAAAGATAAAAGGCAGATACTATAACATCAAGAGACAAATCATCCAAATAGTTTTTAAAAGAAGGGAAACAGAAACAATAATTATGAAACTAAAAAGAATTATACCTGAGAAAGATAATAACTAAAATAGAGAAGGTTTGGGATGACACATAAATAAACATCTTTGGTAATTGGGGCTGAAGAGATGGTGTAAAGTCTGTTAGGAGTATGTAGTGCTCTTACAGAGGATCTGACTTTGGTTCCCAGCACCCATTTGCATGACTGACAACTGCCTATAACTCCAACGACAAGACGATCTGGTGATGCCTCTGATCTCCAGGAGCACACATAACATGTGTGTATAACCACCACTACACCCACACATGATATTAAAAATAATTAAAATGTTTGAAAGGACTTAGCTGACAAAAAATAGCATGCTATAAAACTAAAAAGAATAAATATATAGGTCCAGGATGTAGTTCAGTGGTAGAGTTCTTACCTGCCATACAAAGAGCCTTGGGTTTGATGCCTAACAATGGGAGGAAACAAGTACACCTGTTGATGGGAGATGTCATTCTGTAAATTCTCTTATTGGTTAATGAATAAAACCTTGTTGGCCAATAGGAAAGCAAGCTGGGAAGGACTAGGAGACAAGGAGGATTCTGAGAGATATAATAGGGGAGTCAAGATGTAGGGACTTGAGAAGAAAGTCGGGACCTTCTCTTCGGTAAGATAAGACCACATGGAAATACTTATATTGATAGAAATGGGTTAATATTTAAGACAGAGCTAGCTGATAAGAAATGCTAGTAACAAGCCAACAGCTTTATATCTAATATAAATGTCTTTGTGTGTTATTTGGGGCTAATGAGGCTGTGGGACCAGGCTGGCAGAAAAACTACTCATAACACATCTGTATACAAGAAAATGAAAATATAGGGAATTTCATGACCATGGATCAATGGGATTAATAAAGAAAAATTGCCATCCTACCAAAAGCAATCAACAGATTCAGTACAATCTCCATCAAAACTCTAACACAATTCTTCATAGATCTTGAAAGGGCAATTTTCAGATTCACATGAAAAAAAAATGAACCAGCATATCTGAAACAACCATAAACAATCAAAGAACTGCAGGAGGTATCACTGTTCCCAACTAGAGAACTACACTTATAAAAACAGCATGGAATTGGCACAGAAAAAGATCAATGGAATCACACACCTATAAACACCTTATTGTTTTACGTGTGTGTGTGTGTGTGTGTGTGTGTGTGTGTGTGTGTGTGTGTGTATCAGAAATTCAGAAATACACACTGAGGGGGAAAAGACAGCATCTTCAACACGTGGTGCTGGTTAAACTGGAGGTCTGCATGTAGAAGAATCCAAATAGATTCACACTTATCACCCTGTACAAAACTCAAAATGTACCAAGAACTTCAACATAAAACCAAATACACTGAACCTGAAAGAAGAGAAAGTAAGGAATAGACTTGAATTCATTGGCACAGGAAAGACTTTCTGAACAGGGCACCATTAATGCTAAGATTAACAATAAATGGGACCTAATGAAACTTAGACACTTTTGTAAAGCAAAGGACACTGTCAATAGAACAAAACAGCAACCTGCAAAATGAAAAAAAGATTTTCAACATCTCCGTATTCCCTACTAGGTCTTTAAAAAAAATGTAATCCAATTATAAAATGGAGTACAGATCTAAACAAAGAATTCCCAGTAGAGGAAACACTTAAAGAAATATTCAATATCCTTAGTCATCAGGGAAATGTAAATCAAAACTACTTTGAGATTCCATTTTACATCTGTCAGAATGGCTAAGATCAATAAAATAAGTGACAGCTCATGCTGGCAAGGATGTAGACTAAAGTGGAAGGAACACTCATTCATTGCTGGTGGGAGTGCTAACCTGTATAGCCACTACAGAAGTCAGTTCTACAGAAGTGACAGTTCAAATCAGGAAGATGGGTATCAATCTACCTCAAGATCCAACTATACCACTGTTGGACATGCCCTCTACTACAGAGATACTTGCTCAACCATGTATATTGCTATCTTATTCATAATAGCCAGAAATTGGAAACAACCTGAATATTTTTCAGCAGCTTAATGGATAAAGAAATAGTACATTACAATGGAGTATTACTCAGTAGTTGAATGACATTGTGAAATTCAGATCAATGGATGGAACTAGAAAACAACCACCCAGATTCAGAAAAACAAATGTAATATGTTTGCTTACATATGAATATTAGCTTTTAAGTCAACAATAAGTAAGGTTAATTCTTAGGACCACAGAGATTATATATAGCACAAGGGTCTGGGGAAGGGCAAAAAGATCTCTCTGGGAAATAAAATAGAAGAGTTAAGGATGGTTGAGTGGGTTGGGCCCACTACATGAGTTAGAACCCATACCTGGCACTATTGGGGTGACCAAGAACCTGAGACCAGGAACCTATGGTTAAGCCAAATACTACTATTCTAGTAAAAGAACATCGCAATAAAATGACTCCTGATTATATTCTGCTATACTCAATGATAAGTGCCTTGCTCAGCCCTCATCAGAGTAGCTTCCTCCTATAGCAGATAGGAAGAAATACAGAGTCCCACAGGCTGACATTATGCTGAGAGCACAAGACCTCAGAACAGTTAGTCCTAAGTGGAATGTCTCCATCAAATCCCTCCCCTCAGAGTTCAAGAACCCTGCAGAAGAACAGGCAGGAAGAGTGTAAGGGCCAGGAGGCATGGAGGACAACAAGGAAACAAGGCCCTCTAAATAAGCAGGGGTAAACACACACATGAATCACAGAGACTGCGGCAGCACGTACAGGGTCTCCCCAGGTCTGCATCAGGGTCCTAGAGCTAAAAGAAGTGGACACACGTTTCAATCTCTAACCCAGAATCTACCTCCAACTGTTAACCACTGGCAGTGTCACTGGGGAGTGTCACTGGGGAAAACAAACTACTCTTAAGGGTGGGCTACATGTCCAGCAGCAGATGGCCAACAAAAAAACGAACTCAACAGCTTCTTTGGAGGTTCTT